ATTACGGGACAAGTAACCAGAATGTTAAAAAAAAAAAATAATTAAAACCATAAAATGTGTTCTGCCACAAACCAGGAGCTCTCTGCAGACCATCTCCCCTGGAAAGTTAAGAGATGGGACCAGGTTTGCTGCTGTGTTTGTAGATCCCCTTTGGACTGAGCACTTTTGAAAGGGTTTGTGCCCTCCTGCCTGTGTCTGTGCTGATGGGAACCAGTGTCCAGCAACAAGGGTTGGGCCCCATCACAAGCTGGTCCAAAGCAGCAGAGCTCAGCTCGGCCACAAGAGACAAATTAGGTGTCTCAGCTTCAGCATCTCACCACGAATCGCTCAGGAACGTTGCTCATGTCTGTGCATTGCGGTTATTAGGTGCAAGAAATACAGTTTTTAAAACTGTATTTAATCATTTCTCAGTAACCTCTTTTTCTACAAATTTATGGCATCAATGGGTATGACTGTTTATTATGTCTTACCTATAAAATCTGACCTGTTTTATATACTCTTTATGGAAACAGTGTACAGTCATAAATTAAAAGATGCAACTGTTTTGGATATTTTACTGGTGGTCCTGTATTTTCCTGCCAAAAGTGCAGCTGTTTTAGGTTTCTCGGGATAACATTATAAAAGGCTGTGTGCGTTTTGCAAGTTTATGCTTGAATTGCCAAGCCAGAGGTGGAATGACTCAACCTTCCCAGGAGCAACATGTACCAAGTGAGGAATCAAAACAGGCGGCTGAAGCGGGGCAGCTCAGATGGCCACGGGGAGAGGCACTTCTTGTTCATGGGGGTGCATCTGGTGGTCAGGGTGTGGGAGATGATTGTCGTGCTGGGCTGTGGATCCCTCTGTGTATATGATGGGGCTTTGGTGCAAAACTGGTGGAGGATCTGGTCTTGTACCTGTCTCATGTGGGATTTCAGCGTGGAAAGAAGCCATCCAGGCCCCCTGAGCAAACACCTTTAAGGGGAGTTTTTAGTGTGTGTGGCTGGGTTGGAGCCCTTGGAAGGAGCCAGGGGGAGCCAAGGGTTTGCGGGGATGCCAGCACATGCAGCGTGTTTCCATGTCAGCTCATCAGGCTGGCAGGTTTGGGGGAGCGTTAGATGGCTCTGCAAATGGGTGCTGATACTTAATTTGTGGGGAAGTTTAGAGGCTTTTTAGCCCAAATGTTTATGATCTAATTCCCAGGTGTCAGTGGGCTCCAGACGCGGATAGGCCTGAGAGCACAAAGCTCAGCCCTGTGGTTGTCAGAGGAACCAGCACTGACTGACAGAGCAGAAACCCCCCTGTTCCCATGGGTTTTCCTTGTCTTAGAAAGAACTACAGAAGGGTGGAAATGAACCCTCCCCCAGAGCAAGCAGAGAACACAAACCTGAGAATGTCCTTAGCCCCGTGGCACTGAGCTGTGCGAGTGCGTTGGTCGGGGCAGCCTGGCTGAAGGTGCGTCCTGGTTTTAACTCATGGCATCTCTATCCTGCTGCGCTCACAGCTGGCTGGCAGCCTCCACCTCACCGTACCGTGCCCTGCACAGGTGTTTGATGGGTTCATTCCTGCTCTAAAATGACGCTGCTCTTTGCTGCAGGTACCTCACCCACGTGCGAGCCGCCTCTCCGCAGGATCTGGCCGGGGGATACACGTCCTCCCTGGCTTGTCACCGAGCCCTGCAGGACGCTTTCAGCGGGCTCTTCTGGCACCCCAGTTAGCCAGGGACCACCGGCCTGACATCAAGGGACACCCAGCGGGGCAAGGAGCCGATCAAGCCAGCAAAGGTTGGGGCAGAATCGCTGCCATCCGCGATGGCCGGGCTGCCGTCGCTTTCCTGTGCACTTTTCTGTGCAAAACCGGCTGTGTTCGAGTGTTAAAGGGAAGAAAACAAGCCCCGTCTGCACGAGAGCTTTGTAAAATGGTGAGATACATTTTTGTGGAGGGGGAAACTCGTTAGTCATGTGGCACTTTGCTGAGGGAGGCTGAAGCAATAAGCCACATCTAATGGAAGATGTGAATAACTCAGCTGTGTATGTTTGAGGCTTAAAGAAATACACTTGTAAATTTTTTTTTTTAAATAAAGCCAGACTTTTTTATTAAAGTTTGTGGTTTTACTCTTATTGCAGGGTTTTATTTGCACAAGCGTTTAAATGCCATTTTGATTATAACATTTAGTGTCAATATTCAAGCCTACATTTTCTTCCCATAAAACTAGTTTCCCCAAGTTTAGACAAGTGGGTTTTTCCTCCTGCCAGCTGGATGAGATGAGAAACCCTGGAACTGTGCTGACACGGCTCCTTCCAGGTGACACTTGGTTCTCACCTTTGCCTGGAAAAACAATCTTCAGCTGAATGTCTTTCTGCTGAGTTCCTCTAGAAGCAACCTAAGAAACAAGACTGAGTCACTGAAGTAGTTAAAATTGTGGGGTTATTTTTTTTGGGGGGGTGGGTATTGTTTGTTTTGGTTTTCTTTGTTTTCTTCTGTTTAGCTCCATTTGCAGCTTTTCTGTCATGCACTCAGGAGCTTCTTTTGGTGGGAACATCCCTTTGCCTGGCTTTTGGGATGACCCTTGCCACTCGATTTGCTGCTTTCATGTATTCCTTTCCCTCTCCTTGTAGTGGAATGTTGACTCATTGCAGCAGAGCTGGGCTTCCCATGGGAGGACTGGACTTTGCCACGAGTGGGTATAAACTGCAGGAGATGGGAAACTGCTCAGGGCAGGGAGCTTGGACCACGTTTTAAGGGCCACCCATTAATAGCTGTTGAATCCTGCTCTGAGGGGTGCGCTAAATGGATGTATTTTTTTCTGTGCTGAAATAAAGAGAAGAACAAGCTCTATTCCCGACTCACTGCTTTCTTTATTAAGTAGAGAGAGGTGGCAACATTTCCTTTGCCCTTTCCCCTAAATCCTGCTGGTTGTGCCCAGAACAGCTGCCAACAGGGGATGTTATATGCAATGAAGAGGTGAAAAGATCACGGCCTGTGAAGCACCCGGGATTCTTCTCTCCCTCGCCTCTCCTTTCTCTCTCTTCCTCCCCACCCCAGCCTGAGAGCTGACCTGCCCATCGTTTTTCCAGTCCCTGGGAGTTTGTTCCCTCTGTCACAGGTGCCTGACAACCTGTTCCCAGGTACAAGATGGCACCAATCCTCTCGGGATTCAGCGCCGTGACCCTGGGAGGGAGCAGCAGCAACCAGGGAGAGTCTCTCCTATTCCAGGCTGACCCAGACTGGCAAAGATGCACCTCAATGATGGTCTGTCTGTATTCACTTTGCAAAGCCTCAGGTCATGCCCTAACAAAAGCAGAACTGCATATGCATATTAATTGTGTATCATTTAAGTACACTCATTAGCTTGCATCATTTGCTGTTTCGTGTGGAAGGGTTGTGCACACATGTGGCAACTGCACAGGAATCTGGAAAAGCCCCTGGTCATGAGTACAGCTACCTAACCATCTGCTGACTTGCATCTAAACAGAAGTTATGCTGCTGGAATAGCACTGGTGTTCGATCCTTAAGGGAACAAAACCTTTACCGACTCAAATCCTTCCCTGCCCTTGGGACGCTTCAGTGACGTGCTGAAAATCAGTTACAAACTTCACCTGCTCCTCCCAGAAGTGGCGATCGAAGCCGGGTTTGTGCTGGTTCAGTAGTGCCAAGAAGCCCTGAATTTGGGCTGTGGAGCAATGCAGAGTCACAGGGACCTGCAGTCTGTGTCAGGAGCATCAGCAGAGCTCACAGGCTCACTGCATCATTCCTGATGCGTTCCTGGTCGAGGGCCTTATTGCTCCAGCAGCGGTTGTGGAGGGCTCCGGGGAACAGGAGCCACTGTCAGATGTTTATGGGAAAGGCAGAGGGCAGAGGTTGGAAAGCAGCAGAGCAGCAGCACGGGCTGGGGGTGAGAGCCCAGCCTGCTCCTGGCACAGCAGTGCCTGGGAGGAGAGGACACACGGGCTGGAGCTGCTGAGGCACCACAAAGGCCAGAGTGGGAACGCTCAGGCTGCAGTGCAGTCCGGGGAGGAATCTGCATGGCAGCGCTCAGGACAGCATGGGTGAGTCATGACGGCCTTCTCCCTCTGGACTGATAAATGCGCTCCCAACACCGGCTGTGGAGCCAAGGGAGGGAAAAGGCTGTCACTCTGAGCCACGAGCAAAACAAACCCATGGCCCTTAGCGGTGCTTGGGTGAGAACCAAATGTCCTGCAGGCTGCGGGCTCGGGGATGGAGCCACGGCAGCAGAGTCAGGAGGGGGACGGACATCTGGTAAGGGAGTTGCTGGGCGTGAGCTCAGAGCGAGGACTGGGGGGAAATATCTGACAGCCAGAGGGCGAGCCGAGTTCCCCTGCCAAAGAAGCTGTTTGTGGTCGACGTTGCCCAACAATAGTTTGGATGGGTAAGAAAAGGAAACCAAAGGCAGAGGCGTTTCAAATCCCCGCAGAATACAAGCAGCCAGTCAGAGAGATCATCCAGGGACTGCAGCAGGGGAGCAGTCGGAGATGGGGGAGAGCTGGGAGAGGGCAGAGGCACAAAAGCCACGGGAGGACACAGTTTCAGGACTGTTTTCCAGGTGCTGGTTTCAGTCTGGCACTTCAGTACAAACACGTGCTTATTCTGCAAACGTGCAAAAGGCATTAGAGTCTTTCCTGCTCTAACAGTGGGCAAACACAAAGTCAGGAGTCAACTAATCCCTAACTAAATCTCGGTGTTCAAGAGCATTTTTTACTCAAACCCATAGGATATGTGGCTATTTGGCCCCGTCTGTATCTCAGGTTAAGTTTCTGAAAGGTTATCTTGCTTGCACAAGGGCTGATTGTGCATCTGCTCACCGTAATCCAATATTCTGAAACAGCAAAATGTTTGTCAGAGGGAATCCAAGGCAGAGGTTATATAAGTCACTTTCCTAGAACTGGCAAAATATAAAAATCTGTTCTCCCCACAAACTGCACATTATCAAAATGCCACAGCAGAAAACCACCCCAGGCTGTGGCATGGAATCGGCACAGGGTGTGAAACAATGGAGAGCAGAGAAGTACTAAAACACATTTATTACAAAAGAGCAAAGTTTTAATTTTTTGTAGTAACAACAGTTTCAATCTGCTTATCGACCCCACAATTAAAAGAAAAAAAAAAAAAAAAAGGTAAATGCAGGAAGCAGGGCTCCCAAAGGAAAGCTGCAACATGCACTGTGCATCTCGATGGGTAACGCAGGTATGCTGTGAATAACTCAACAGGCAAACCAGAGGCACCCTAAATACCCTCTGCACAAACTAAGGTAGTCACCACAACTCCAGTCTTCAGCTCAATAATTTCTCTTCAGAAAAACCTTGGCTGGTACACAGACGTTTTGAGGCTGGTTTTGCTGCAAAAAGGTTAGAAAAAGTAAGTTATTTATTGTGCAGTAAACAGACTGAGCTAAACCACAAGCCCTGGAACACTTAAGGGATTTAACAGGAAGAGATGAGAGTTAAAATCAGGATTAACAGTCACAAACGAAAACTGTTACAGCATTAATGGGGGGGAAGTCTTTGCTAAAGGCCAAAAAGGACTTTCAAAAAACCTGTATGGAAATAGATTTTGACCTACATCTCCGTGCTACCCAACAACAGCAAAAAAAAAAGTTTCATGGCATTAAAGCTTTAAAAAAAACCCTCCTTTCCTTAAGTTCGTGTAACTGCAGCCTTGTCACGTACTGCAAAGCCCAAGATCACTGAAACCAACCAGTTTCTACAAGTACTGCAAGAAACAAACCAATTATAAAAAAAAAAATAAAAAAACACTCAAACCCACAAAGTAACCAAATTCAGCACTGAAGCTCTCTAAGGGTATCCCTGTCTCAGCTACATTGCACAGAACCTGGCTCTGCTGATGTGGTGGCTCCAGCCCTAACTGAGTCCACGTGAGCATAAGGGAGAAGAGCTGGGATCAGTCCCTTGGAAGTGCACTGTTCTGGGCAAAAATGCAGCTTCAGCTCCTAAGTACTGAGCTAACAGAAAACTGTGTTTGGCATCAGATCACAGACTCACCGAATATCCTGCGTTGGAAGGGCCCACAAGGATCGCCGAGTCCCCATCCTCCCCCAGGACACAACCCAAGGCATAAAGGTCTGGTTTATGGCCTGTGGGGTGATCCTGTCCAGTCCCCCATGTTTCTGGGGAGGCTCATGCTGGGATCAGAGGAGCAGGCTGCTGTTTTCAGGAGCATAGGAAGCCCTGCAGCTGCTGCACACATGCAGGCACTCGGTCCTCTCAGCCACCTCCACCCTCATCCCAAATCCAGTGTCGCCAGAGTGGCCCACAGGGTGGGAGCAGCCCGAGGCAGCAAAAGGTGGAGCCTGAAATCCCAGTGCCACGTGGGAGGGTTGTTCCTTCTTACCTTCATCAGGGCAGGGCCTCTTGTACAGCACATCTGCTGGGACCTGGAAACTGATGCACAGCATCTCCTTGTTGGGCGCCACGTTCCTGACCAGGTACGTGGAGCAGCGTCCGTCCAGGGAGGTTCCCAGCGACGCCTCCGCTCGCTCCTGAATGTCTTTGGCCGGGTCCTCGTGCTTGGAGAACCCGTAGCAGTGCACAGTGGGGAGGGCGGCAGCGCTGCACGGCTCCCCCACCAAGAGATGCCTGAAAACATCCAGGAATTCGACTGCCAGCGCTGGCAAGTTCATGACTATGTGGAAAGCGTTTCTCTGCTCTTCCTTCACCAGTTGGAGCTCTTTGCTCAGCTCCTCCCGCACCGGCCCCCGGAGGAATTCCCTGCCATCCATGTTGAATGCTTTCACTGTGGCGTCCACCTTGTTCAGCCTGCAGTTGTGCAGGAGCCACCTGTAGGACTCGGGGTTGAGGTCGTTGGCAAACACGCGGCACTTCTTCTTTGCCGCTGGGATGGCGAAAGGTCCGACCCCGGCGAAGACATCGAAGAGGACGTCGCCGGGCCTCAGCAGCTCCACGATGCGGCCGCGTTCCGTGGAGAGGCGTGGGTTCCAGTACACCTTGGAGAAGTCCAGTTCATACGCAGTATTATTTTCTTTCACCTGAAAGCCCAAAACGTTTTCTGCGTTTAACTGCCAGGCAGGTTTAAGCGTCATCAGTAATTCAGACAGATAAAAACCAGGGTGCCTTGTCAAAAGGTGACGTGCACATCAACACTTGCCCCACTGGTAGGGCACAGGAACCTTGTAAAACCAGATCCAACTCATCAGAAAGCGCCGTGAGGAATGTCCCCACTGTCAGTCCCGATGACTGGCTTACGCCTGTCTCAATCACCAGGTGGAAACAAAGCAGCAACTTAAAATGACCATAAAAATAAAAAATTAGGCTTTTCAAGAGCTTTGTGGCTGACTGACAACTCCTTTATTGAAAGCAGACCTTGGGAAGATGCCTCAAGCCCTCCTTAGAGGAGTCCACACAGTAAATAAGCGTCTGAGAACGATACGGCACAAGAACAGGAACCCTCAGCCAAAGCCACTGAGAGCCAGTTCTGCAGCTTGAAAAATACTGTATTTCATCTCTCAAGGTGACAGAGTCTGGAACCCGATCCAAACCCAAACTTTGGAACGACCACTATCTTAAGAACAGACCTGAAAAGAAACGGTATTTATTCAGATGAGAATGGGATGCAAGATAATACTCTCCTTGCACCACCACACTGGAATTATTTGACTCCAAAGAACGGTAACTTCAGATCCAAATCGCCCCATCCTTTGCTTTGCCAGCAAGAAACATCCTGAAGCGTATCTGCAGGGCTGGGTGCAGCTCCATGGCGTGCCAGGTGTACGGTAACACCATCTGCACAGTATTTGATGCTTGCTTGCTGCCTTGACAATTCAACTGCCTTCTCTGTGCATGTACAGGATGTTCTACCAAGATATTCGACCTTTTTGTTTGGTAACCTAATGTCTCCTCTTCTGAAAGTATAAAACTGCTAACAGATAGGGAAAATATTTCTGTGGGAGCCGCGGCCAAGATTCCAGCTACAGACAAGAAACCCCGCGCGAAGGATACGTGGCAGTTACACAGGGACTGCACCTGATAAATGTCAGGACAGAGGAGAGAGGAGGTTTGTCCTGCTGCTGTCAGAACAGGAAAAAAGGCAAAGGCAAAATGCTGCCTGAGTTGCAGAGCCCATCAGACTGAAAACACACTCTTAGGTTCTATACCAGCCACGAGGTACAAGGCTTGGTGACGTTATAAAACTGCATTTTCTTAGATCAAATCCACTGAATACTCTGGCTTTGAGAAACATCCCCCAGTACAAGTTTGCCATTAGTATCTCTGTAAGAAACCTTTGCTGCAGCTGCTCTTACACAGCATTAAATCTAGGCTGTGTACTTGAAAAAATACGTGTCTTCATGACCCCTGTGGCTGAGATTGCCCGTGGCAGAGCAGGACAAAGGAATGCAGAAGTAACAGCCAACCCTGATGCTTAGACAGGTGTCAGGAAGGGCACTGTGCAAAGGAGAGTTCTCAATAGGATCCCTGCATCACCTCCTTCCAGAAGATGCCCTTGGGTTTCAGCTTACTACAGTTAAAACAGCAGGGGGGAAAGGCCTGTACCTTGGTTACCAGGTTCTTCTCTCCAGCGAGCACTTCCATTTCAAAATTCCTGTACGTGCTGTCAATAATACTGGTTTTATTCACTGCACAGGTGATTCCTGGATTCTTGTCAATTATAACCTGGCCTGAAAGAGATGGCAAAAGATATTCTGGTTGAGTGACCACGACCTTTCAGTGTTCTGCAACAGCCACAACAAACCTGCTGTTAACAGTTAAACATAACAAAAGTGAGTGTGTGTTGGAATAACCTCCCTCTGTGGACTCAGGGTTGCAGCTGTGACACCTTTTTAAGGCACACACTTCACCCTGAGCCAGTGCTCAGTGCAGGGAGAGGAGAGAACTCTGCCCTCTGAGCACAGCTACAGCATCAGCACAGGAGCTAATTAAAGCCAAAATAAAAAGCAATCAGAAGTTTTCTTTGTGCAAATGACACTTGTCAAAGTATCTTTTTGGAAATTTACAAAATGTACAAATTATTTTTTGAGAGGAGCAGTTTTACCTACCAATCAAATGTCTGTAGGGCAGCTGGTGGTCCCTGAGGTTCAGGTGAGCTATGTGGCCAACACGGCTAAAGCCAGAGGTGACCTCCTGACCCTCGGGAAGCACCGCTCGCAGGATCTCCTCCGACTTGAAGTTCTCGTAGGTCAGCTCCAGGTTGTACCTGGACACCTCAGGATCAACACCGAGCTCTTTCAGCGCCTGCTGCTCTGGTTCTCCCAGTGAGAATCCTGGTATTTTGTGAGGATCCAGGATAACAAGCCTACTGTCCTCATCTTCTGGATCCTCAACCACTCGCTTCAGACCGGGACGCTGCAGGACCGACTGTTTTAGGGACTTCAGCGAACTATTTACAATTTCTTTCTTGACTTTAAGAGCTGGAACAACAACTGTCCTTTTAAAAGCCTCTCTGTTGAGCAGTGTCATCCCACGCACTCTGGGATGTGGTGAATACAGCTCTGGATTAGCTTTATCCTCCACGGTTTCAGGCATCGTGGAGAAAGTGGTTTTTTTCACGACTACAAAGGGCCCAGGTACTCTGCCAGAATATTGTGCCAACAGCATCCAAACTGCTGGAAATGATGTATTTGATGCAGCTGTCCTAAAATGATTAGTTTTCAGTAGTCTGGCAGAGTATCCAAATCTCCACAAAGTCCTAGAAGAGAAATTATTCATTTTATAGACATTATGTAATCATTCCATTAAAAAGGCTGCAAATCACATGGATTTGCTGTTCTCTTAAACCAGAATTTCCATCTGTACCAAACAATCCACAATAGTTTAGTAAAGCTCTTTATTATAAAATATATACTGCAAATGTCTGTTACTCTGCAAATGTGTTTTTAGACTTAAACACCAACTAACTTCAAGCAGCAAGGTAATCCCCTCCTGCCAAAAAACCATGACCTCTCCTTGTTCTAATAAATGTGATATTAATCCCAGTAAGCCAAATGGAAAGATTTCTACTGTCTTGATCCTACTGCTGGATCCGTTCTGTGTCTGATGAAATTCATTACCGAGCAGTGGTTGCTACAAAACAGTTTTCAGCAATAGTGGTCATGATCACTCTTTGGTGATTTCTGCCTCCCAGACCTCAGTGTAAAGTGTTACATGCTCCACAGTGTCTTTGCTCCATGGGCTGCGTGCCAGCAAGATCATTAATTAAATCCAGTATTCCCTATAAGATCCAGGGGAGCATTAGTAATGGCTCTTCCAGCAACCAAGCCCCATTCCACAGTTCACTCATAGGATGGGGAACTTTAAAAATGGCTTTACCCTCCTCTAAATGGTTTCCTTTACTAGAGACAGTCCAAAAGGGCCCAGTTTTCTGACTCTGCATCTGCTGCTCCAAGGCAGGAACCAATGGTTTAGGTGGTGCATTTCTCCTGACCTCTTGGGAAGCTTGTTTTGAGATCAGGGGTTGATAGGAAAGATGCAAAGCAGCTCTGAAACAAAACTGGTTCTCCTGCCTCCCTCAGTCACTGCTCTCCTCGAGGGTTCCAGGCAGTGCAGTCTCTCCTTCCCAAAGTTGCTGCGCCCGAATCCTGGCAAAGCTTGGTTTGGTTTCCTGCTCCCAGATCCCAGCTCCTCACTGGGACTCCCCTACACCTCCCAGCCAGCCCATTTCCCTAATCCAGACTTTTGGCAAAGCACGCCTCCTTCGCCTGTCGACCCAGACATTAAACACTGCGTTCCTCACGTCTGCCGCACAGCAGAAATCCCATTATCCAGAGGCCCGAGCATCCCTGTGCTTCTCCCGGGGCACTTGCCTTCTCCCTAGACGGAAACTATCGAATCGGTATTTCAGAATCCCAGAATCAATCCAGAGCTGGAGAAGAGCTCTGGGATCACCGAGTGTAACCCATGCCCCAGCAGCACCGTGTCACCCAGACCACGGCACCGAGTGCCCCGTCCCGCCTCTCCTGAAACACCTCCAGGGTGTTTCACGCCACCATCTCCCTGGGCAGCCCATTCCGCTGCCTCATCAGCCCTCCTGTGAAGCAATTCCTCCTGAGGATCAACCCGAACCTGCCCTGGCGCAGCTTCAGGCCAAGTCCCCTCATCCTGTCGCTTATGGATAAACCCACAAGACAACACCCCCCACCCCCACCCCACCGCGCTGTATTCCGGCTGGAGGCCACTGTACCACCCTCCCAGGTGGACAGACCAACCTCTCCCTCATCCCCACGATCCCGGTTTATTCCGGTTTATCCCGGTTTATCCCGGTTTTCCCTCACGGAAATCTCTCCCCCCACCCCCTCCTCTCCCCCCGCCCTCACCTCATGCCGGGCCCCGCGCGCCGAGCGCGCGCGTCATCGCCGCCGCGCCGGGGGAGGGCGGGGCCACAGCACTGGGCACGCCCCCTCGGTTGTGGCCCCGCCCCCTCAGCGCTCCTCAAACGGGGTGGGCGGGGGCACCGCCCCTGGCCACGCCCCTTAAAATTAACCACGCCCAGAAAAAAGTGGCCCCGCCCCGAAAAGTGGCCCCGCCCCCGGCGCGCCCCTCAGTGCGCTCGGTGCGCGGGGGGCGATGGCGGCGCCGCCCCAGGGGTCCCGCAGCGCCCGGGCCCTGCCCGCCCGCGGGTGGTACCTGTCCGCCCGCCTGCGGGACCGCCAGGACGACGACGAGGACGAGGAGGAGGACGGGGAGTCCGCTCCGCTGCTGCCGCCGCCGGCGGGCAGCGTGCGTGTGAGGGGCGGTGGGGAGGGAGCGCCCCGAGGGGGCTGCGCTGGGTGCGGTGCGAGGGCGAGCTCGGAGGGCGCGGGCTCGAAGGCCGGGCGGGACGGGGCTGTGCGGGGCGGCTGCGGGGGTGACACCTGGGGAAGGGGGAGGAGGGGGTGAGCCGCTGCTCTCGGTCCCTTTGGTTGTGCTCCGGATCCCTTTGGTTCTCCTCCGGATCCCTTCGGTCCTGTGAGCGCCGAGCGCTTGGAAGCGCTGCCATGTGCCCCACGCAGGGAGAGCCTGCTCCGAGCCATAAATCTCCTTTTGCACTCTACTATCACTGCGCTCAGAGGTTGTGGGCATTTGGGGTGCCTGCCGGGCAGCATCGTGGTGTTTGTTGTGCGTGCAGCAAGGGTTTAAGCGTGGTCTTAGAGTGAGAAACGAGGTTTGCTTGATTTAGATTAAGGAAGGAAAAGTTGACTGTGGCCCCCTCCCTTAAATTGCCTCCCGTGGAAGACCAAAACACCTCTAGCACTAATTGCACTTCTTTCTCTGGGCCTTTTCACAGAGTTCTTCAAGTCGTGGTTCCTCCTTTGCTTTCTCAGTGTTCAACCTAATGAATGCAATCATGGGCAGTGGGATACTTGGCTTATCCTATGCTATGGCCAACACGGGGATCATGGGCTTTAGGTAAGTTTTCAGTTTTTACATGTCCTCATTTGCAAACTCAGCTTGTAGTTTTAAGTGGAACAAAACTTGATTACTAAGACTCCTGTGCAAATCTGAGGAAGAAGTAAGTAGCATGTGCTTTTCAGAATCGTTGAATAAGATCTTCCCTCTTTGGTTTAGTCATTCAGGTCTAGCCTGACATAAACCCTGCCCAGACGTTGCATTAAGTTGCCACATGGTGGCAATTTCTTGGCCATTACTCCTGACAGATGGGCAGTTTCCTTTCAAAGCTGTTATCTCCTTTGGTTCCAGGAATGGGCCTTCTGGAGTAGGGTGGATATGTGCCTGAAAATTGTGAATCAGCTTGTGCTTTTGTCTGCACTTCTGCTTATTGTACGTGCTGACCTGTGGATAACGGGGCCAAAGTCACCACAAGTTGTCTCTTTTACCATTTCCTGAGCGTTGGTTCCACTTCACTGGAAGATGTGCGTTTGTCTGTGTGTGTGTACACACACAAACTCCCACGTCCTTTTTGTAATCCATATGTCAGGCTTTCACCCTGTATAGTGTGTGATAATCTTAGTGAACTGTATGAGGAGCAGGGGAACTTCACAAGTATTGGGAATGTCAGGGACCACATGAACCGTAGCCAGCAGATACCAGCCACAAAAAGAGGAAATCTCATCTTGTGGTAGCTTAATTCTTGCAAGGGTAGCATTCTTAAAGCTAGAAAGTGCACTGTGCTGTAAAAGTGCTTTAATTGTGACTATTTTGTGGTTTTTAGTATCTTGCTGCTGATCGTTGCCAGCCTTGCTTCTTACTCTGTGTTTCTTCTGCTCAGTATGTGCACTCAGACTGGTAAGTGAAAAGGATTTATCTAACAGTGAGCTCTGAAGTATTTCCTCAGCTCTATCACAGAATATGTGATATTGATGAGTAATGATTGCGATTAACAGCGTGTTAACAGGTGGCTGTGCCAGCCTCACTGGTCTTGAAATATTTATAGTTTTTAATGATTGCTATTTGCCATTTAAAAATACGATTTTGAGACTTCTTTGTGAGCAGTCAGTGCCAAACTGTCTGGTTTCTAGATTTTCAGTTTTAATTTTTTTTTTTTTTTTCAAAAAGCCCCTCTCATCTTTCCTAAAAGACAGATCCTGTATTTCTGGTGCTGCCTGGACCACGCTACATCAGTGCATGCTGCTGTTTTCAGTGAGGGCTTAGGAGCAATAAAATATCAGCCTTTAGTTCTTCTGCTTGTGATATATGTCTTTTGTTCCTGGTTTGAAATAGATACCTTTCAGGCTTTGTAATCATATTGGTATATCATAATTGCCGTGGTATGTTACAGATGAAGGGGTTTATGGCATTTTTGATGCTGGATGAGAAGTCACATTCCGGTTCTTGGGAACTGCCCTGCTTTGGGAATACTCAAATGCGAACAAATCTGCTGATGTTTTAATTCTTGCTTCCTTTAGCTGTTACTGAAACGATTGGTTCCCTGAGTTCTCGTACACAAAGATCACGTTACAGCAGGAAGTCTCCATCTTTTCCAGTCACCTGGTTATTGTTTCCCTCTCATCTGTTTCCCTCTCTTTTCAAAGGTGGTGGGTGAAAGCTTCCGCTTCTTTCCTCCTTGGCTTTGTTTTCTTTAGCTGCCTTTGGTCTCTCAGATGACTGCTTCCTGGTTCTTCTTAGATCTGCTGCTCCTGTCCTCGCCTGTCCAGTGATCTTCTTCACACATTCTTAAAAAACTCTCCTCAGAGGTAGGGTTGCTTTTATGGTTGATACTTTTGGCTGCCTAATTATTTGAGATTAAGTCTTTGGTAATGCTTGTCTCCTCTTGGAGCTCTGCTTATTAGAAAGGAATCAGAACCCGAAACAAGTAGCTAGAAATGTACATGAGAAGCAAAAAAAAAAGGTGGATTTGAGTCAATTTTATATGGCCTTTTTTTGCCGCTTCTTTCAGGCTGAGAAATTCTGTATTACATAGGCACTAAGTGATATTAAAGTGTAAATGGTAAAATAATAATTAAATAATAATAATTACAGAGATCCTTGCAAAAGAATTATGGTGAGAGGGGAAAACTAAGGATTTGAGTTGTTTGAAGTAAGAAGAGTTTGAATATTATGAACTTAGACACCCAATATGTGAGAATGGTTTAACTCCTTAGTTCTTGTCCAAAGCAACAGTCCACCTCAAGAAAGCATTTTTAAAATGCAGACAGCTGAAAGCAAGGAGCAGCACTGAAGTGACAGGATGAAATATTTCTTGTCTGAAACAAGCACTTTATGGTTAATAATTAATTATTACCCAATGTTGACAGGTAGGGCTTACACCAGAACTATGTCTGGATAAATTTGCTGGATTTATGACCTTCTGTATTTTTTTTTTTAAATAAGATTGGATATTATATTTCCTATAATTCCTGTCAGTTATTGAAGTAATTAAATGTTAGATAGAATTCTGAGTTTTTCCTTTGAACATTGCCTTTAAAAAGTGGGAAATATGACCTGCTGTACCTTGACAAAGTACATGTTTGATTTCAAAGTAGGCAATTAAATGTTGTTGTTTAAAAAAATCCACATTCATTTGTGGACAGTGTTACAGTATTAAGCTTAATCCATGGCAGCAAATCGGAAAGAAATTTTAGTGTTTTTATATTAAAAAACTAGCTAGAAAAATTTAAAGGAGGCTTTTTTTTAAAGAAAAACCTTTGAAAGTGTTTGCAAACTGTTCACTAGGAAAGAGCTGACTTAGAAAATACCTTCTGAAAAGGAAGCTCACAAAATGAATTCCATTTCAAACAGAGATCAGGATTTACTAAGTGCAGGCATTTTAGTTGCAGTTCAAAAATAACTGAGTAACTGAAGACCCTTCTTTATGTTGGCCTGGACTTTGACAAAATCCAGTGATTTGCGTAGACCAAAAGGCTTAGCAAAAAAAAAAAATATTCCCAGGTGTCAAGTGTTGTGTTGGGATTAGTTTAGTCAGTGTTTTCTCCTGGTGTTAATTCAGTACGACCTGTGTTGTTTTGGGCTGATAAAGGCTAAGCTTGCTCTGTAAAGCAGAAGAATTGGGAATTTAAGTGGGATGTACTTTGAAGTTTTGTGGCTTTTTTTTTTCTTTCTTTCTTCATTTTATGAGTGAGTCACAAATGTTGCTGGTGCTATACTTGCCAATTTCACTTCACATTTAAAGGGATAATTTCCACAGGGTATTAATGACATGATAAAAGTTAAGCCGGTCAGGCAGAGCTTATTTATATAAATTGTGCTTAATATTTAAATCCACATATTCTTGAAATTGCAAAAATAGTGCAGTTAAGTGTTAGGGGTTCCCAGTGTTCACAGGACTAAACTGAGTGAGTGCAGAAACAGAAAACATTCTAAGGTTTCATATTGCTGTTTTGGAAATGTGTGGAAAACTCTCAGTTCTTTTTGCTGATAACTCCCCATAGGTGTGTGCTGTGTATTTGTTGCCGTGTGGTACAAACAATTCACTCTTAAATATCTTTAACATTTTACTGATTTTTATTTTTTGATGCCAGCGAAGATGGTTGCCTAAAATGCTTTTTTTTTTTTTTCCCCTTGGTATCAATAACTTTATTAATATAAATAAGAAAAACGCAGGGTAAAATTTAGTATGACATGTTTCTTGTTTAATTGTATTTGTATATAACTCATATTAGTGTAACAGGAGGTTTAGGAGATAATCCAGGTTTCTGCTGAGAGCTGGCTCTGGCTCATTTGATTTTATTTAAAATTAATCTGTTAATTAATTTATTTTTTTTGTAAGGTGTTGGTGTCAGTAGTAGAGCAGCGTGTGCAACTGAGGAAAATCATGCGAGAAAATCGATGAAGTCCTGTTAGGTTTGGGGTTCGGTTTGATTTCGCTTTTTTTATTTTGTCTTTGCTTCCTCCCCGTGGATCTGACTGCGTGCAGAACTTCAGTGAAATAAAACCACCTGGTCTTGGGCAGTTGGGAGTCTGAGGCTCCAGCCCTGCCATCTGATCTCTGTGTCTCCCATGTCCCCTGTCATTTGCTGCAGTGGGGGTTTCACTCAGGTGTGAAGGGGCTGCCCCAGCAGCTCAGGTTGCAGGGCTGGGCCCTAAATTAAGATGTGACAGGAGCAGGAGCAGTATTGTACCAAACAGAACCAGGGAGGAGAAACCGAGTGTTGTGACAGTAAAGTTACGTGGGTTTGAGATTAATTTTTACCTTTGGAGGCATTTACGGCTGTGGGGCCGTTTCGTTACATCCCGAGAAAGTGAGTGGTTTTTCTCAGGGAACTTTCATCTTTTTGGTGTCACTTGAGTTTCTAATAACAAAATATGGAGTAACAATTAAAGGCTTTAATGTCTCTCTGAGGAGGGATTGCTTTGAGTTACCAGCAATATTAGAAGTGAGCTTCAGCTAAATCCCAGCAAAATTATAGAAGAAACCTCAGGATGATTGAATGTCATTATGTAAGTTGGGTGCAGGTAAGGGCAGGATTTTTGTTTTGTTCTGAGTTTTGCTTTGCTGCTGTTTTGTTTTGTTTTTTTGTTGTTTGTTTTGTGGGGGGGGGTTTGTGGGTTTTTTTGTTTTGTTTTTTTTTTAATAATAGATTTTGACTAAGGAAGGTGTTTACCTTCAGCTCTCTTGAAAATAAATAGTGCATGATTTTTAAAAGCTGGTGAACTGGTGGTGTTTATGTTTGTAGAAAGATGAAAAATTATCCTCTGTTGTCATCTTTATTTAGAAGAAAAAGTGTGCCCTTTTAAGAAATAAAATACGGAAATATCTTACACTAATTCTTGAGGCTGATTTCATAATTCTTCACCTATGGAAAAAGTCTTTGGAAGAAGGCGATTTGTCATTAGTGTATTACGGTTATTTTTTAAATGTTAGTACTTTAAATATTAAGTTGAGTTTCTTTAGAGTCTCTGATTGTTTGAGCACAGAGCTGTATTTTATAGCAGGAGTACTGGCATATGTAAAAGCTGGTTTGTAAATAAAAAATATTATAGAATGCTCTTTTGACCTGAATTATGTTCATTTAAAAAAAGAGGGGGAAAAGGCAAAGATAGAGCTTTCAAGCGATTTTGAAGTTAAAAACATCTTAGCCTTTTTTTTTTTTTTTCCCTTACTAACAGCTGCCACTTCTTATGAAGACCTTGGCCTGTTTGCCTTTGGATCAACTGGAAAGGTGAGGATTTATTTTTTACCTTTCTTTTTCTTCTTGGAAAAGTTGCTTCCGATATGCAGCTGTTCCTTGCATGGTAAGAAGGTATAGATGAAATAAGTTGTGGGATTACTGATGCCTCAGTGTGGTGGAAAATCTGTTGCAGCCTGAAGCTTTTCGCTGGGTTTCATTTCGTGTGTCTGGGCTGTGGAAGCCCAAACTTCAGTTGAATGTAAAATAGACCCTCCTTAAATGCGAGGGTTCGTGCTGCTCTGCTCTCAGTGTGTTCATTCTCAGCTGGGAGTACAAATGTGCTCCCTGGTGTTGTTGCCCAGTGGGCTCAGCACTCAGGCTCAGGTTTGTTACGATCCCCTCGTGCCTCTGCTGGGAACTGCTGAGGGACAGGCGGGAGATCCACTGTCGGTGTTCCAGCATTTCATTGGGATCTAAGATGAGGAGGTTGTCTCTCGTGCAGTTTCCACAATGGGAACAACTAAGAGTAGGTTTCATGCATGTTATTTTTTTTTGTTTAGTTTATTAAGCTCTTCGGGTGAATGCTTCTTACTTGCTGTTTTATGATTAAAAAAAAAAACCACCAAGAGGACCCCCCAAACAAACAAACCCCAACAAAAACACCAGTAAACTAACCATTTCTGGTGTAAGAGTAATCAAAATGTTAGCTGTGCTTTTTTTAGGCGTGTACTGGACCTGTTTTTCCTAATGGACAATGTTATCCAGTAATACTGGGTGCACAGGAAATACTGCCTCTGAGTACTGCACACTTAATATTATGAATTCTATGCTCTGTGTTTCAGTAGCTAAAAGCAGGTTTTACCACACAGAAGTATGATTTAAATATTTTACTGAAACGGTGTAAATTTTTTCAAAGTTAGTTTTGCTCATCAGGCTGGAGTCTGATTTCTCATGTCTTAAGGTAACTGAGAATTAAACCTGAGCTGTCAGGTGTTTGTGAGACTTCCATTAGCATGAATAAGCAGATATGAGTGTAGTCTGAGGATCAATATTTATTGATCAAAGTTCTAAAGTGACCAACCTCAAGAGATCATAAATCTTGATATTAGCAAGGTATGAAATGCAGTTATTTTTTACTGGAGCTGTTCTGTACACAATAACCATAAGCCATTGCTTGCAAAACTCAAAGAAATTTAGATCTTTAGGACAAACTAAAATGTGACTTAGTTTGCCTTTGCCCTGAACCCAGGGCAAACATAGGTAAACCATTCTTGGCAGATGTTTGTCTAATCTGTTATTTAAAAACTTAAACTAAGAAATTTCACAGCTTCACTCTATAGCCAATGTCAGTAATTTTTTTTTTTTAATCTCCCCAATATACTTATTCATAATTCTCAGTTTAAATAATTTGTGCTAAAAATTATCTGGTCTTTTATTTTCTGTGTGCATAGAGTGCACTAGGTTATTTTTAGTTTGGGAAGCTGTTTTTCCAATAAAATAATTAACCAGAGTTCACCCAGTTTTCCTTTTCCTTGAAGGATCTTTGATATTTATACAGCTTTCTTAAAACTTGCCTGCAAAACAGGCTTTGCTGTTTCTCGTTGTGTTATCTCAGACTGTTTTCTCTGTTTGCAGTCTAATGACTCTTTTAAGTCATATTTTTGAGATCTCCCCGAATGCCTCGCTCTTAAATGATCTGGTCGATTTTTAGGCTTTTCTGGTTTCACCACAACCGTTCTGAATTCTGATCTGTCCCTGAACAATTCTCACTTCAGTCAGGCACAGACTTTTTTCTTTTGCTTTTTTCTCACTCATGAGGGAATGGTGCAGTCAGACCACAGTAGGATCTTGCTTGAACTGACAGCTTAGAGCAGTTACTCAACCTTATGGTGATTTCCTTTCAAACATATTTCTTCTGACATTTGTGAGGATGGAAATTTTCTGCCATTGGAAGATTGCTGATTCTCCCTTTCCAGAGGCGTGAAGTATTTGTTTCCATGTATGGCAAACTCCAAGATACCATACTTTGGGGGTTTTTTTTCCTTCCCTTGGTGACTTTTGAGCTGACTTTGAATTCATTTAAAATCTGAATTTATTTTCTAGCTGATCAGTTGAAAGAAATGGCAGCTCTGTTTTCAGATTTTATTCGGAAGTACAAATTTGTTTTTCTTCTCACTCTCACATCTGTGGCTTAAATTTTTTTTCCAAGCACTCGTTTGGGAATGTCCTGCTCTATCAAGAAGAGCAGCGGGTAAAAAGAAAAACTGTATTAGGTGATCGTGGTGTTTTAGAACTGAGCTGAGAAGAAAACACTGGGAAGACTTTATAGCCACTTTTAGGTTTTTTTCAGTTAGAAGTTAATTTTGTTTTGGATTCAGACAAGTATTTTAGTAGCCTGTGATCATTTTTTGCTCCCAGTATGAATAATCACTGAAGAAAAGTCTGTCTGGTTTACAAGTTTAAAAGAACAATGAGATCCCTGACAGTTAAAGATACTCAAGTTTTTGGAGTGAGGAAGTGCACTTGAGCCTGTACAAATCTCTGCTGTCTGTCTTTTCAGAGCTGAATGATCACTTTCATTTGTATTCACCTGATACCAGTTAGGATGCACCTATATATTTTTAGCGATTTAAAAACCCTGATCTTCTGCAGATCAGGCTTCACTGAGTTCCTGCTCTTGCTTTGTCATCTCAGTTTTTTCAGGGAGGGCTTTTTTGCTTTCATGTTCATTTCGGGTTGTGTTGGTTTCCATGTGTTAAACTCTTCACTAAGGAGAAGATGCCCTTCCTCTCAGGACTAGTTATCGCTGCCACATCTGGTCTGGTTAAGATGATGCACATGTGTTTTATGACTGCTGGGGACATACGATTTTAGTTACCCTTACCCTTTCTAAAGAAATCAATTTTTTTTTTATAGGTCCTGGTTGCAACTACAATAATTATCCAGAATATTGGAGGTAAGAAACTTCAGATGCCCGATATTAACTGCGTGGAGTGTAACCTCTACAGGCTACACAGCCCCAGAGGCACCAAAGGCAATAATTAAATTAAAGTGCTCTTCAGAGGACAGAAAACTTAAAGGAAAGGCTTGTGTGATCAGGCTAAGCTGAGGGCCTGGAGTCACTAGTTAGATGGGGGGAATTATGGGGGTTGGGTTCTGTGCCTGTTGTTGCATCCCGAGTTGTGGAGCACATCCATGATAGCTGGCACTGCTGGTTGGAAGGGGCTGAGGAAGCAGCATCTCCACTCCACTGTTCTGTACATTTGTTTCTGGTAGCTGCACTTTATCAGATCATGTGTTTTGGGTTTTGCAGTTGGAACCTGCCTATGCATTTTACTGATTTGTGTAACAACTGAATGTTTACTTAGCTCTGATGTTTCATATGTTCTGCATTAATGGGAGCTTTTTTTTTTCCCTGTTAGTTCAGTACCTTGTTATTTGGGGAAGTTGTTTATCTTCCCAACTTAGTTCATGTGGGCTGATATGTTGTCATATGCTAGGCTGTCCTCTCACACTGTTTTTATTTTGTCTTCCTTGGTGCATGGCTTAATAAAATTACACTGCCTGGTTTTGTATTTAAACTCTTACTCAGGAATGCTTGCATACCTGATGGTCACTAAGTAGTATTGCCCTTAAAAATTATTTGTCTGAAAGTAGACCGTGTTTAACAGAACAATTTTAGATTTTTTTGGCTGTAAACGTTTTGGATATTTTCTTTTAAATGAGGGGATCGTGTGAAAGCTCCCTCCTCTGTCCCCTACCCCCGGGAAGATACACATATTCAAGTACATCAAAAGAAGGAAACAGCATTCCAGTGCTGTTCTTTCCTTTAGGATTACCTGTCAAGTCCAGACAGTGCAGTGATTGCTGTTTTTTTTTGGTCACAATGTAGACATCTAGAACTAGACCAAGTAATTTCTTTCATGGTAAACTTGGAATATTTTCCTATACTGAAAGTTCCAATAATAAAAACTGCCCATATGAAATGGTTGTAAAAATCCAAGCATTAATTTTAGACAGGAGTGAGCATATTAATTCCAAGATCGAGGACTATTTATTCGTACAGGTTTTAGAGGATGTTCTGTAGCAATGAACAAATCTTTTAATTTCCTTTCCCGTTTGAGTGGATCTCTAAATAAACAGCACTAGAGAAGGAGGGATACACAGTGCAGGTTCTGGAGATTCTGGGATCACATACAAGACTCTGTGGTCAAAGGAAATATGACTCTCAGTTCTTCCTCATCACAGTTCATAACCTTCTCTGTGTCATTTTTAATAAAATTCAGCTCAGTAACTCTAGAGCCCCAAACTAGTGCGTGCTGGATATTGCCAAACTCCTTATTCCACCTTCTGCAGAGGCCTTCTCTGCCAGCAAGTATGGCCTGGTTTGCCAACCAATGGGTTTCTGTCAAACTAATTGAAAAGTAGGGGTTGGCAAGTTGAAATGCTTCTATCAGATATTTTGATAGAAGATTTTGATGGAAGATTTCAAAAACTCTGGTTTGGTGGTTCTCGTTCCCAGGGCGACAGGTTTCATTGAGATGGCTTATGTATCCAGTATATTTCCTTGCAAGGGGGGCTTGTTTCCAAATGCACTGAAGAGAGAAAGCTGACTATCCTGCCTGGACTCTGTTGGTAGAGCCTAAACCTGCCCCAAGGCTGTGAGGGTGGGTGATCTTTGGAAACCTGGGTGGCAAGCTGAGACTCTGGCACCTTCTCCTACACAGCAGATGTGTTGTGGTGTCACCGCAAGGAGCTGTCACAACTTCTCTTTAGTATTGAGAGCTCTCTTTGGGAACAGAGCTCCAGCTGCCTTATTTCTCTCCTTAACCACCACCTTTGGCAGTGCCCTGTGATGCTGCAGCCCAGGTCAGCACTGTGTCGGGAACCAGCTTTGAAGGCGACTGCACTCAGGCTGACAGGCTGCTAAGAAAGCATAAGGAAGGTCGAATAATTCTCTTCACCTCTCAGGGCCTTGACTCTTGAAGGACTGCATGGAAAGATGGGAATTTTTCTTGTTTTTCTGGTCCTTCTGCAGATTTTAAGTGGGAGTGGTGAAACTGTGGAGTGTCGTTTGTCCTTGAATGGGATCCACGCTGGGATTAAGTGTGAGGCTTGGGCTCTGCCCACAGTGCCTGTTGGTAGGTGTTCCCCTCTCTTTGTTTTTCTGTCTGAAGGGACCAGCAGCACGGTGGCTGTTGGGCAGACATCCAGACCCTGTCAACATCTTTGATTTCAGAGTAAGGCTAAAAATAAAATTGTTTTCTGTTACCTCTTCCATCATCAGACCTGGGAACGTTGCATCATACGGTGTCTTATTTCACAAATGATGGGAGAGCACAAGATAATGAAAGATGCCTTGTGGCTAAAATAAGCAGCTCTGCCAGGGTTATTGTCACTATCTGCATCTGCTCTGGGCTTTCTTTTACAGTTTTGTCTGATCCCTTCTAAAAATAATCCAAGTACAGAAGTGATTTACATTAATTTGTGGTGGAGAGAGCGTTTCAGTAATCATTTTAATAGTTATGCTTTCCAATTTGTCAG